CGTCTCCTCCTGCCTTCCTGCAGCCAGTCTCCCGCCACCGCGCCCTCCCGGCGGCTCCCGGCATCTCCGCGCCTGGGTAGGACCTGACGCCGGCCACTAGCTGTCTCTACGCCTTGAGGATGTTCGCGTCAAGGAAGTAGTAGAGGCTGTTGCTGTCCATGTTGCAGCCACGGCCACCTGCGCAGCCGTCAGCACCTGCGAGTCTCTGGGTGACAGGTCCAGCCGTACTTTCGACCCGGAGCTTCCACGGCCGGCCTGGGCTTCGCGGGGCAGCACCAGGAGGCAGGACGCAGGCAGGGCCAGGCCCGGCGCCCGCGGGAGGTTCGGACGCGCCAACCTGGTGAGTGGTGAGCATGGTGGTCAGTGGCCGGCCGCGGCCCGCAGCGCTTTCTCTGGGCTCCCGGGGCCCGCCCCGTGGGGCGCCCTCTGTGCCTAAGGAAGACCTGGGTATGGCAGGGGCTGACCGCAAGTCCTCCTCCCCAGCGCCTCGCGAAGAGCAGGCTGCCAGTACAGTCTTGACTCTGCTGTGCTAGGTGTCCCCCACTGTGTTCTCAACATGCACGAACAAACCGCGTGCTTCTTACTGTGCTACTGTAGACATCACGGTTACCACCAAAAGTCATCACTTCTGTAGCTACCCATTCAAGCACAAAGAACTTGAAAATTATGATATATCATGGTTAATTCAGGCATACCATTTTTGTCTGAAGTACTGTCATTGTGGGATCCCTTTTTAAAAATCTGTCCAATGAATTCTGGACTTAACCATAGGTCATCTCTGCTATATCAAAATTAAATGGTGACATGATTATTTCACCTCATAAAGGTCTTTATTTTGTAAAACTATTTGAGACAATAAGCTAAAATTCTACTTCAAAACCAAAAATAACAGTGAATTTCCTAAATGCTCTCTTTTGATTGATTTAAAAAACAAAACAAAATTCCATAACACTATAAATAACATATCTTAATTTTTAAAGTTAATTTTGGATTTATGAAGAATGACTTCACATCTTTTAGGGTATTTGTTTTTGCAACTATCCTCTTTTTATGAAGTCAAGAAGCATAGCCTACTTGAAGTTAGAAAACTATCAGAGACTGAAGTTCCAATTTTGTAACCTGGTAACATGGATATTAAACTTAGTTGAGCATGAAGGATGGAAAAAGGTATGGATTGTTCTAATAATTGTTTAGAATGTAGCCATACCATTTGACCTTTGACCTTACTTAACAAATAGATTTCAATATCTTCACTAAGTTAGGAGATGACCCGCCTCCTCTTATACAGCGAGCGACTGCACAGAGGCCTATTATTACTATGACTCAGTGGCACAATCTTGTCATTAGCAGCACTGGCCTATTTTCAAAGTCATGGCAGGAGAACTCTGGGCTCTTTTTAAGTTTCATTTTCTAAGCTCACTTTTACTTTTAAGACAATCTTTGTTTTCTTTCGACGAACGTTCTACGTTGAATTACTTTTTTAACTATGAGTTAAAATTCAATATTCCCATGATTGTTATGGATTCTAGATCAATGGCCTTATTTTAAGACGGCATATTTAGGCTCTTAGTTCACCAACATAGAGACCTGTCCGACAGGAAGTTGTGAAGACGCTGTCATCCTTAGGTACTTGGATTGTTTTGGACGGTCATTATGTTTTTAGTCCTTTTCGCCAGAATGTTGGCCATAAAGCCACTCACTGTCCCCACATGCCTATGAGCCTTTACGAGCGTCCCTAACCCAGACAGAAACAGGTGCGAAGCTTGAACGAGCCGTGGAGACCAGCAGGTGAGGTTCTGGCTGGGACCGAGGGCGGAACTCTCTGGGACCACCAAGAATCTGAGTTCCAGCTGTGCTGCTAGTTCGGCGGCGAGGGAGCGAGGAAGCTCGCGCCAGCCCCACTGAGACCACGCTAGCAGCGGACAGGAGAGTGGCCGGTGGCGGAGGCGTAGCTGGGCGCACGGGGCGGGGCTTGCTGGCGGAGGCGGGGCTGGGTGCGGGGCG